AACAAACTGAATGTTATAAAGAAGCAAATTAGGAAAAGTAAGCCTATCATATTTGTAGTACAGTGAAGCTAAGATACAACACCCAGCAGGCAGGCAAACTTGCTAATATCCTATGAATTAGCATGCCTGGTCATGGCACACCGGGTACAAAATCATGCAACCAGCATAACGTTTCCACCTTTCCACCAGCATTGATAATCTATCGTAACGTTATTATCAAACTACATAACTGCTAAGAATGTGCAACTACTAACATAAGGTACGATCGGCTTCGAAATCAAATGATTATGAGCAAAGCGCATATATTTCTACATGTGCCATGTAGATAGAGTGTTTTATCAGGTTCAGTAGGCATGGATCCACAGTTCATTGTTCTGCTTCAACTACCGTAGCTGTGATGTACAAGTTTTGATCTCTGGCTACGCATGATGGTATTAGTGAGCCCAATGGCCCACAAGAACCGAAGTGATGAAACTTCTTGCCGTGGGTAGTGGGATCATCGAGTTGCCCACTCTTGGTTATGTACTCATGCCATTACCAACTATCAGTGCACAAGTACTGCTACGCCCTCACTCTGATCCATTGCAACAATATCACCAGGCACATGCATGCTACTGCACCCATTAAACCAAGAGTCGCAAATAGGAAAATCTTTGCTGTAAACCACAGCTATAAGGTGCTTTGAGTCCAGTTTTGTGGGAAAGTTGCACTGCACGATGCACAATACCACATTGAGCGAATTTTTTTCACATAGCGTGAAGTGTCTCTCGAGAAATGCAATGCACAATGCATAGCGCAGCGCAGAAAATCTTGCATTGCACCTGCAGTCTAAAACTGGTTGCCAGCCAGAGCTCTTGAGTCACATGCACCAGCATGCAGGAAGTGATGCCCATCACGTCTTACCGAACCTAGAAGTGGAGCTGGACTCAATTTCCCGTGATACGACCTGTGATGGAGCTGCAACAACCAGCGATGCAAGTTTGCAGTCCAATTATTTGAAACTGGCCCGCGATGTTGCTGAGAACGTACTCAAGGCAACATTTGAGAAATTACCTTTCGAAAAAATGTTCGGTACAAACCTGGCCGGATATTGTTTAAACTTTACGGTACTGTGTGAAGAAAACAACTATTTTATTGCATAGACTAAGGAGCTATCCAGCATTATCGATAATTTTCAGGAAATGAAAGAAGGACCCTCCTCCAACCACCCACCAACCCCCCCCCCCCCCCCCCCTGATTGATGTCTGCAATATCAATGTTTTTTCGAAACGAAACTCCCCTTGACCCACCCACAAACGAAACTTTTTCTCTTCGTGTAAAAGATCGACAATTATGGACCCGGCATTATCCATAATTTTCACGAAATGAAAAGCTTAGTTATGAGTAACTTGTGACCGTCCCCCACCCCCACCTACTCACCCCTCAACGAAAAATAGCTGGAATGGACTACCGTAAAAGTCCGTAAATAAGTACGTTTTTACTTTCGAATTTAGTGACCACACCCGTACTAACTTTCGGGCGGGTACTGACTTTCGGGCACGAACTAACTTTCGGACCTGACTTGTGTGTAGTGGAGAAGTCATTTTCATAAAGATATACACGCTACACACTGCATGTGCGCATCGTACCGGCACCTACTTCGGGCAGTATGATTATCGGGCTTGACTTGACTTCAACAGACAGAGCCAAAAGAATGAAGGGGGTATTTCTTTCGGGCAGGTACTTATTTACGGACTTTTACGGTAGTGTTTCAGCTATCAATATTTTTCATTACGAAACCCTTCTTGACCCACCCGCCCATGAACGATTTTTTTTCTCGTTTCAAAGATACTCAATCTGTTAAAGATAGATAATTATGGACGGCCCCTAACGTGCCAGGTTTGAATGAATGGACCGTAGAAGATTGTTTGTGATATCACACGATCAGAACAGGTGACAACCAACACTACATGGCTGTATACTTGATGCGCTGCATTTACTGCGTGCAACGCAGGGAGCTGTAGCATCTAGGTAGACGGCACAGGCGACTGTAAAGCTAAATGACATGGGATTCGACCCAGGGGTTCCTGTTTCAGCCACCCCCGGGGCACCATTGGGCAGATCTATACCCGCTCGTGCATGGCATTGCTAATCTGGGCCGTTCTCAGGGTCAGTAGGTCAAGGCCGTGATCGCGGCTTGCACAGATCACGGAGAACCTCTAAATCCTGACCCAAAATTCTATAAAGTATTGTGTAGTCTCCCTAAAGTGTAGGTGCTATGACTCCCTGGTGCGATGTACCTGCTGGGAAATAGACAAATTGCAACCAGGCCATAATTCGGATAGAGCAGACGATCCTGTCCTGGACCCTGTTCCACATTCAAAGCGTATCTAGACTCATATGGTGAGGGAGGAAAATTGTGGTACTGACTCCGATTTTCATGCGCTAAGAAATTATCAAGTATATGTAACTGTAAGTGATAATCACTCAAAGTACGAAGCTAACAGTAATATTCACTGGTTAGAGGGAAAGGCACAAACGAGAAAGGTCTGAAGAAAAAATGACTGTCACCACCAGGATTCGAACCAGGGACCTTCGCTTGAGGCCAGCGATGCTCTAATCACTGAGCTAAGGAGTAGCCATCATCCCAGCCGAGATCGTTCAACATTTTCTTCAGACTTCGTAACGCACACTAACAACATCAGCTAATGGTATATGTACTCTTTTTCGATAGTACATGCCAGCTCTACCTTGTGATGTTGAGCACTCTTCGTTTGGTGGGGGTACTCCGATTGTCTAATGTGAACCACATTCCACCTACAATTCTACATTTGCAACGTTGTCCAATGTGCATCGGCACGCATTGTGCATAAGTGTTACAGCAGAGTGTAAATAGATTATCCGCACCCCTCGGGCGCACGCTTTCTCCAGGGGGTTCGGATGGGGAAAAATTCGGATAAGGGAGCAGTCACACATCCATCTAAGACTTGCACATTACTTCACGTTTCCATCATTTCTCACATTCTCTTCACAGGAACTAGACACAATCTAGCTCCTCAATATGACTCTACGGTGATACATTGTTGCTCCAACCTGTTGCAGACCATCTTGTGCACCGCTTGAATGGTGCTTGGGGTTGGGGAAAATGAGCAGAAGCTAATTTTCGTCCCTTCAATTCAATGGAAACTGGCATTTCGGATAAGTGATTGTTCGGATTATTGGCATTCTACTGTATTCATATTCACGCTTTCGGTACAGTCTGGAACAGGAGATCCTAGTTCGACTCAGACTGCCCTTTCCATAACACGTTTCCCATGTACTCGCAGTTCTTTTATCGGAACATCTTTTCTTCCCAACCTCAAATCCTGTGCAACGCCGGTTGGCTTTCCTCAGTTTCCTGAGTGGTGTTACCTCTCAATAGAAGCATGAGTGGCTATATTGTAAAAAATGTCCATAATTATCGGAGAAAGGATCGGATGTGGCTAAATAATTTGAAACTGTCCACTTCTCCTCACTGCGCTCTTGGCCCACATTTACCACACCATACCGAGAAAGTTCGTTCTTGGATAGATGCTCTACATCCTTCAGACATCTATCCAAGAACAAACTTCTTCGCTATGGTGTGGTGAATGTGAGCCAAGCGTGCAGTGTGGAGGGGTGGACAGTTGCAAATAATTTGACTACAATGTACTAAGCAGAACAGAGGCACTAGCACCTGGGTAGAAACTATTCTGAATTTTGAATGCCAGGGAAGGCTGAAGGATACCCATGAAACCACTGCCAAAGCAAACACAAATTTGAAAAGCAGTGCATGCATGGTGGCGGTGGGAAAGAGGAGCCAATGAAAGTGTGTACATATTTTTGTTGAAAGCACGAGAATTCAAAGAAAGCTGGCTGCTTCCTCTATTCCCATGATCGGCCAGTGCCTGCAGCACGAACAGTACATTGTATTACATGTATGTGCATAGAGAGACAAATAAACACTAACCTGAGCATGGGTACCGCTTGTATTCGTGGTCAGGAAAGTGAAAGTACGAACGAAGGAGAAGAAGATTGTTGACCATGGCGAACAACTGCATATCCAGAGGGCACACAGCTTGCCAGAATGGGTCGGCTACATCTTCGCTAATTTTCTATCCTAACAACATTCAGCTTCGAGGTCAAGGACGACGGCATTTTTGGAAGGAAATTTCGAATTTTGGAGAAGAAGCTTGCTTTCGGAAAAATGTTCCTTTCACGCAAGGCAGCATGCCAGGTCAGGCGTGTGAACCAGGTGAACTGTGTCGGCAGATCGACGTTGACGTTCCAGGCCGACAGTTTTTTGACCAAGCCGTGAATCGCCCTCGCTCGGACTCGCCCGGCTACGAAGGAGTAATTTTACAACTCTTCAGGCCAGCTACAGGTCTCTGATGGACAGCTGCAAGTGACGGATATCGGTCATTTGCAGCCACTACTTAGAGCCTCCTGGTACATGGTCGTTGCAATCTGATACATAATATCAAGAGTACATAACTACACTAGTTATGTACTCTTGATAATATACCTCGGCACCGGGCAAATATGCTCGAAAAATCACCCATCATGCTTTCTCGCAATTCTTTCAAACAAGCCGATAATGCCTGAAACCATGCCGATAATTCCCAGAAACTCTCACAAATTTTCGCTTGAAATCCAGGTCTTTCTTCGCATCCAAAACAAAAAGATGCATTCTCAAACCTAAAGGAAACAAAAAAAGATTCTTTTTCTGGCTCTGGCAAGTTCAGACAGCTTTGTTGGTTTTAGCTTGTCCAGCAGAGAAACCACCTTCTTGCTTTCCTCATCCCTTTCACTTTCAGCTTCCTCCTCATCCGCACTATCTACTCGACAAACATCAGTAACCAGCCGATTATGCCCGCGAAATTACCGATTATGCTCGTGTGATTTTTGCACCCAAAATGCTCGATTTAGTGCCGGCATATTTGCCGGGTCCCTAATCGGAAGGCATGAACCAGGCCAGGTAAGGCGCTAGGCCGAGCATTGGATGGAGGTCGAGCCGTGATTCGGAACGATCTCGTATCAGCGAGATCGGAGTGCTCACTACACTACACTCTAGTCTACAGATCTTGTTGCACTGCAGTCTCCCACGCGCACCAGATATTTTTTTCAGCAGTGAACTGTTATCTCTGGTAATATAATGCTTCCCAAGATGTATTGGCTACGTGTACTTCAGTAGTTGCAGGGTACGTCGCTTCCATGGGAGTCAAGAGCATAATTAATTTTGTTGTTGTTGACAGTCGCTAAATGAAAAGTCGAGCTCTGTGGATCCTGGTCGCAGCCATCAGGTAAGACTAAAATGGGCATGCAGCCGTTGGATCTACACAGTCATATTATAATACACGTAATGTTTTGTGTAGCGGTGCATGTGCAGAATAGTCGCACATACACTGACCACAGGCCAAGTCCTGAAGATAAAACTGGTTTAATCGAGTTATAGTAGTTATACATGTAACCACGGTAACGTGAACTTTAAAGGGGAGTCAATATGGTCTAAAATCAAAAAACTAATTCACCGTAGTCGTCGGGGTGCTGAGTCGAATGGTCTTGGTCCGAGGAAGCTGACACTCTGTGTTCAACCGTGTTCGATTGGGAATAAGGGCCGAACACTGTCCCTTCTTTTAAAGAATTTCGTGCCGTTTCAGCTCTGGAGATAAGCGACCTGCTGAAGCATTTGAACTGTGCCAAGGCAGCTGGATCGGATGACATTCCTCCTCTGCTCCTACACCTCTGTGAGCCTGCCGCTGCAGGTCCCATAGCGCAGATCATTAACGAGTCCTTGAGTACTGGAATGGTGCCAGACGTGTACAAATTGGCTACAGTGTGTCCTGTCCACAAGTCAGGGGACAAATCTGAAGCGTCGAATTATCGCCCCGTTTCACTTTTGCCGATTGTTTCTAAGATCCTTGAGAAGGTAGTACATCGGCAAATGATTCGGTTCCTTCAAGATCACGCTGAGCTTCGTATTCTCCCAGACGGGCAATTCGCCTACCGCAGAGGGCACTCCTGTGAGGATGCGTTAACTCTCGCAGTAAACCGCTGGATGATGAGTGTGGACAAGGGCGAGTATTGCGGGGTTGTACTCGTGGACATGAGCAAGGCCTTCGATCGGGTACGCCATGAACTACTACTTAACGAGCTTCAAGCTATTGGCATAAGCGGAGTAGCACTACAGTGGTTCTCCAGCTATCTCCAGGGTCGACGACAACAGGTGAAAATTGGAAATAACAGAGGAGACGAGACACATTGTACACGAGGCGTTCCGCAAGGGTCGGTGCTAGGGTCTCTGTTATTCTCTTTGTACGTGCGACATGTCCGTGGAGTACTTCGCCACGCAGAGTCCCAACAGTATGCTGACGATATCGCCTTTTATATACACTGTCAGTCTACTGGAGAACTTCAGCACAAGTTGACAAGTGAGTTGAACAGACTAAATACGTACCTTGGAAGCATTGGTCTCATCTTGAATGCCCAGAAAACGAAGTTCATGGTGCTTCGGAAGAAGGCTCTGCCTCTTCCGCCGGATCTTACCATTGCATGCGGTGGTGTCGATATTCGACCTTCTGCCACAGCGCGTTATCTTGGCCTCATTATTGACCAACACCTCACCTTTGAGGATCAAGTCAACCATGTATGTACATCTGTTTATAAGAAGATAGGAGCATTCCGCCGCTGCCGCCGTACAGTAGACCACACAACTAAGCGAATATTTTATTTATCCCTCATCCAATCCACTATTGAATACGCCAGCAACTCGTATGCTCACTGTCTTACACCATCTTTATACTCTCGCCTTGTTACTTTAAGTCATATCAGCATGAAAAAGGTTTTTGGTCTCCCTCGCCGTACCCCGACTGTCTTTGTTTTGCGGCACGCTAAGTTATACTCCCTCGAATCTCGTCTCAACTTGAGGCTTTTTAATTTTGTTTTCCGCTGTATTCATCAGCTTACAAGTCCTCTTCTTTCCTCAATGTTCACCCTCCAGTCGGCTGCTACTTGCACCGAGAGGCGCACTAGAGGGCAATCATTCTCTTCACTTTCTTTGCCCGCTGCTACCACTAGATATGGCATGTTCTCTATTTCTTTCCTTGGCGCTGATAGGTGGAATTCTCTGCCTGTCTCGTGTCGTCAGGTTGAGCATCTATCCGTTTTTGTTTCGCTCTGTAAAGAGCACTTAGGGTTCCCTGTAACAAGACGGCAACGGCTGTAGGGCCTTCCCTATCAAAATAATAAATTCTACTACTACTACTACTGTACTGTACAGTAGCCCTTTCCCAAAGATGCTCGAGCTCGCCACTTTTTTCGCAACTTTATGTTGTTTTGGAAGAAATCGCAACTTTCGCAACTTTCTTCATTTTCACAAACTACTTCGCAACTTTTCCGCAACTGTTTGCAGAGAAGCACCTTGGAGGGGACCATTGAAGTGTCCATGATGCTCCGCTTCAACAAGAAGCGCTGAAACATTGCATAAAATCATCATCGTCAACAACAACAGACAAGTGTACTTCTCATGTGGCAGCACTGAGCATGCCGCTATGTCATGAATGCTGTGCAAAGGTTCAACAAAAATGGACAAGAACTCATCCCAAGTCTGTTCATTTTCCTAAACATGTTTCACGCTGTGAACATATGCATTCATATGTACTTCAAAGTATGATTGACTTTACTCAAGCAGTTGTGCTGCGCCAGTGTTTTCCATTTCCGCTCCTTTATTAGTTGCTTTTGACATCATTATGTACAAGAACTCGCTCATTTTGAGTTGCGATATTAGCAGCTATTGAGCTTTTTCTGAAAATATGGATGCGATTTCAGCAACATTCACTTGTTTTGGCATGATTGCGAAAAGCATAAGTTGCGAAATATTTTGGCATCTTTGGGAAAGGGCTACTGTACAGGCAGAAAATTTCGTCGGTCAATAATTTCGTCCAACTCCAAAGAAAGGGAGTTCGTCTGGTTGTAAATTTCGTCCATGGATCATAAGAGTGTATAGAGAAGCTGGACAAATCGACGTTAGTCCGGCATTTAATTTAGTCCAAAAGTTCCGGCTTGGACGAAAAAGACGAAATTAAATTCCAGACGAATATTTCTGCTTATACAGTATCACAGCCCCATCGGACCAAGACCCTTTGATTCAGCGTCCAGAATACTACAGGCTATGGGATTTTCACGTTCATCCGTGCTTCTTAAAGAACGAAGTGACGCTTTCAGTGAAAATTTCCCACAAATCCCGATCTTGTAGCAGGCCGCTCACCCAGTTTCGGGGGGGGGGGGGGGGGAGTGCGCGAGTTCGATTGGGAGTACAGTGGAAGGGAGCACGGTGTCTCAGCTTCCTCGGACCAAGACCATTCGCCTTAGCACCCCAAAGACTACAACAGGTGAAAATTTGATTCTAGACCATACTTCCTCTATTTCCAGTACAGTGAAACCTGTCTAAGTCAGTAACTCAAGGGACGAGAAAAAGAGGTCACCTATGTCCTTGGCCAGGTGGTCTTCTTATCCAGGTTCAGTGGTTCACGTCAACATATTCACTGTAAAGTACATGTACCGTAAAGTACCGCCAGACCTGTCAAGTGTCGTGCATGCACCATGTACACATCTACCATGATCTACACTTCCTGCGCTGATGCGTAGATCTACCATGTGTGGTGCACAGTGCAATGCGTGCGTGTACTGAAGTACAATGTACTAGTAGGGTGCCACACGGTCGCGGGTGACTGGTCGTTGGTCGCGTTGAGCGAGTGGTCACCTGATCCCAGCTGTTTTGAATGTGAATGCGTACGTGACAAGGAAAAGTGGTCGCCATGGTCAAGTGGTCGCCATGGTCAAGTGGTCGCCATGGTCAAGTGGTCGCCATGGTCAAGTGGTCGCCATGGTCAAGTGGTTGGCATGGTCAAGTGGTCGCCATGGTCAAGTGGTCGCCATGGTCAAGTGGTCGCCATGGTCAAGTGGTCGCCATGGTCAAGTGGTCGCCATGGTCAAGTGGTTGGCATGGTCAAGTGGTCGCCATGGTCAAGTGGTTGGCATGGTCAAGTGGTCGCCATGGTCAAGTGGTTGGCATGGTCAAGTGGTTGGCATGGTCAAGTGGTTGCCATGGTCAAGTGGTTGCCATGGTCAAGTGGTTGCCATTACTGTTTTACTGTATGTTGTACAAAGGCTTGACCGCTTCCTTCACAGCAGGGTGTCATATCCTCCAGCAATGAGTGGACTGGGCCCTCCCAGTTTGGGGACCCATCTGGTACAGACAAATTCATGCCTAGCGCCTTATTATTATTATTATTTGTAAGAAAGGGTTTGCTCCCCAAAAAAAACGAAACGAAGGTAAGTTATGGGTCGCAAGTATCCACGCAAACACACATCCAGTCATAATAAGGCACTTGTCATAAGTATCCGAACGTTTTCGGTCCCTTCTCATCAAGGATTATACAGGGAATGGCTCAAGTTGGAAAGACTAAAACTTATATAGCGTAAAGATAATTAGATAACAACACTCGTGACAAGGTGGAAAATTATCAAGTTTAGCACGACACAAAACTCGAAGGAAAATACTAATAGTGACAACAACATAGTGAGCAAATTAAGTTACATTGTTACCACCTCGACGAGGAGTAACACCAAACAATTGTAGCGACAACACATTTTCTTTCTGTACGCAAAGTTCAGGATCTAACTTACGGATATACAAAGCTTCTAACACAGCCAAATGCAACGCACATCTACCACGTGACAATATTGAGAAAACATTATCACTGTACAACTCACGACAATTGGTATGGGCTGACAGATGTTGCTTGATTGACGAAGTGCGATTCTTAGCTCCATTGCGTGTTGTCTCCTCCAATGTCCCGTCATCTCGCCTCTTCGTGGCATCACCACTATCTGTCTCTTCGCGTTTCCGCGGCCTTCCACGTTTCTTGACCCTAACCGTTGGGTGCGCGATACCCAGTGTCCTTTCCGCTACGTCTCCTCCATTGCGGATTTCTATTGAGCTTCTTACTCCAACTTGTCCGGTGTCCGATATTGAGGTCCGCGAAAACTAACGTACAGAAAGAAAATGTGTTGTCGCTACAATTGTTTGGTGTTACTCCTCGTCGAGGTGGTAACAATGTAACTTAATTTGCTCACTATGTTGTTGTCACTATTAGTATTTTCCTTCGAGTTTTGTGTCGTGCTAAACTTGATAATTTTCCACCTTGTCACGAGTGTTGTTATCTAATTATCTTTACGCTATATAAGTTTTAGTCTTTCCAACTTGAGCCATTCCCTGTATAATCCTTGATGAGAAGGGACCGAAAACGTTCGGATACTTATGACAAGTGCCTTATTATGACTGGATGTGTGTTTGCGTGGATACTTGCGACCCATAACTTACCTTCGTTTTAAAGTATTATCCGCCTCCGACCTCTTTTAAAAATTATTATTATTATTATTAGACACAATACAAGCACAGCTAATGCAGGGACAGAATCCCCTGAGACAAGGGCGTTGAGCCAGCCACGCCTGCATGCAACACGAGGGTCCTATCCACTATGGTTTCACAATTTCCCAGACCCGCCGATGTACAGTAAACCACACCTAATCCAAACACCTTTCTGACCTCTTTACAGTCACAGCAATTGGCTGTTTCGGGGGTCGTCCACAAATATCGAAGTTTTTTCACAAAACGAATTATTTTTGTTTAGACCCAACCCCTCCCTCCCTCCCCTCAGAACGTAAAAAAAGGTTGACATCTGCATAATTATGCACAATACAACAAAAGTTGCAAATGTGTAACTGCTCCTATGGCCAAGTACATGTGTCAATGTTTTCTGAAACGAAATTGGTCAACCCCCTCCGGGCCCACCCCATAACGAAATTATTTCGTTTTGTGAATAAACTTCGATATTTGTGGACGACCCCAGCAATAGCAACAATAAAAATGGAACAAAAAAAAACATTAGTTGGCATGTGTCCAAGTCATCTGGAGCGTGATCAGCATGATTTCAAACATACTGAGCGCAGCGTGGTCTTGGATATCCTTGAATGCACACCTTGTCACCATGGCAATGATTTAAACAAAGCACTATCAACGCCGGTGTTGCTATGTTGGGCATGTATGCAGCACACTCCTGTACGGAGGTCACCCAGTCTTGCTCAAGCTGAGTGCGGTGGATGGGAAGATTCGCTATCATCCGTCTGCGATTGTTCTGTGTGCAGAGCTAGGGAAGGTAGGCGCATGTATACTGGAGCAAGCTGCCGAGTAACTACAGTCAAACCTCTTTAGGACGAACACCAAGGGACGGATGATATTTGTTTGCAATAACGGGAGTTCTTCTTATCCATATGTTTTACCCAGTGAATACACAGTGGTTTATCCAATAGAGTTACGAATACTAGTTCTTGTTAAGCAAACATTTGTCTTATCAGTGTTCTTCCTAACGAGGTTTCACTGTAGTTGAACTAGAAACAGGCCCAATGTAGAGTATTGAAAAGATGCCAGTAGTATTTGCCGCGAGTTGTAGAGTATTGAAAAGATGCCAGTAGTATTTGCCGCGAGTTTCGATCGATTCCTGAGCAGCGCTATGCAGAGCACCAGCTAGCAGCACTCTGGTACCACTGCAGCCCTATTGTGTCACCGTCTACTGAAACGACCCGAACGAACTTTGTCCAATAAGCCTTTTGCGCGTTGTACAGATGTACGAAGTTCAGTACTGGGGCATAGGTGTGTACAGAACCGATTGGGTGTTCATTGTGTGCTATGCATGCGCATTTGACCAATTTAAGCCTCATAATTAATGGCAAACAATCCCTATTCCAGTTTCTTCACTTTGGTTAGAACTAATGACTAGCTAGATCTTTGTCAGAAAAGGTTTTCGTTTGAAATGCCTTCAGGGCCCATTTCTTAGTGGAAATAGCAGAAAACACAATAGGGTCCTACACATTCAACACCCATTAGGTTCTACGGGATTCTACGGGATTTCGTGCATCTGTACAACGCGCAAAAATTTGGCCTGGTGCAGTTTCTTTCAAACCAAGCGCCTGTGCAGAAGTTCCCTTTGAAGTTCATTTGCTGCCGGGCATGCCGCATGATGTCATTTTGAGTGGTGATGCAGGCCAATCCGATGGTCCCATGGGCATGTGGCATTGAATCCATTCATGCCCCCGATGGCATTCTAGAACTGAAGTCAAGACTGCTTCAACGGTTTACTTTGGTGCACCCCTGTCCTCAGTTGAGGTTGGAAGAACCAGTAGAAATTAGGTCTTTAGTTGGTGCAACAGGCAAGATTTTAGCTGGGATGGGCTGTTCGTTGAAAATCACGCTCAGGTCCTGTTCAAATACACTTCGAGCGTGTTCAACTCGGAAATTGGACACTTGATACAGCCGTAAGCAGCATGCCGGAATCATGATCTGGATACAGTCCAGTCAGTGGCTCGGCACCGTGAGTTATGATAAGCCGGAGAGTTTGTACTCACGTTTGTGATGCTCAAACTGATCCCACCTGTTCATGATGCGGGGTGTTCTTTCTTTCAGCTTGCAATCTCGTTGATCTTGCTATGGCTAGAAGATGTGGCACTGTGGCCAAGGTCAGGATCAGTACTGCAGCCCACATCCAGCTCAGCCAGCCCTGTCAGGCTCCACACATTCAGTGTGATGACGCTCGTGAAGTGCTGCGTGCCAGCCGCACTGTACACGTTGAACAATAACATCGCCGTACACTCACAGCACTGGCTGGACCCAGTCAGCATACAGGTAAGCGATTCAATGCCAGATTGGGACTGATAGAATGCCGCAATATTCAATATCTCAACCGGTATGTCCTGATACACAACCTGACATATTTATCTGCCACCCCCCGCCACCGAATCGGGCGAATCCACTGTAACTCAGTGTTATAATTATGGAATGCTCGGGTCCTCGTTTAGTACTGGTCTGCCCTCGTCAAAATATTCAGTATCGGGTAGCTTCCAAATGTACATGAATCTACAGCTGAGGCGTTTGGGACTTCAATGCCGTGATAATGAGCCAATTGTTTGGAAGAGCATGATTGAAAATCCTTGTAAAATTATCAGTGCAAGCCGTATTAGTGGACTGATCTCGAACAAGTGAATGGTTGGCAACAATGGGATTTGTCTGCCGCCATGGCTTAGGGGTTAAAGCGCCTGTCTAGTAAACAGGAGATCCCCGGTTCGAATCCGGGTGGTGGCTGGTCGCTGATGATGAGAGTGCCGAGTCTCTTGATGGTTTGTGTCCATCACCACCCAGTTGTCTGGGATAAGACGGCTCTCCGAGGCTTCTTCTTTTTACTTTCTTTTTCCTGTAGTTGTTTTTGTGTTGTTCTTGTGTCCACAGGGCTCTTGCAGCATTTGTTTTGCCTTGCCCCTTCATAGTTTTCCTGAATCATGCTGTAAATACATTCTCTCCGAGTTGATATCAGGCATGCATGCCTCTAGTTGCAGTAAATTTCAGAGGTCAACAGCGTAGCAGCTGTCATTAATTTTTGTTTCCTGAAGCGGGATTCACAGAAGCTTTTTTGCGATGCGACACGCGATGCGACGTGATCTGCGACGGATGCGTGCGGTGCGAACTCGCGAAATACCATTCACAGAAGAAGTCAGCGATGCGACAACATCTTGCTGATTTGGCTACGTCACCATGATACTCGCGCGGTTTGATACAACTTGTACAAATTTATAGGCAACTCTTGAACCTTTGTACAACTTTGCTGTAGAAAAGGTCAAAATCGTACGCCAAATCGCTTGTCGCATCGCATCGCAAAAGTTGAGCCAAGCTCAACTTCTGCGATGGCCCAGTTGCGTGGGGTACGACATGGCTGCGATTTGGGGTTTTCCCGGTTTCGCGCCTGTCGCATCGCGTGTCGCATCGCAAAAAAGCTTGTGTGAATCCCGCTTTAACCATCAATATGTGTTGTTGTTGACTTGATTGTCGAGGCAGGTGTCGATATCAGGCCAAACCTTAGGAGAAGTTATCATCTTTAGTATTTCTTTATACTCATACATTGGTGATTGTATGGATGTGGCTGTATTGAGCTCTCTCCATTAATTTTGATGGAAGATGTCAGCTCAGAACTTGTGGCCAGACACAAGGAATACATTACGCGGACGTAGCTGATGGGGCAGTCAGGAGCGGCGGAAGCAGTTTGTGATTGGTCCGGCCATAAGCTTGTCTTTAATGCATTGTGTATGATATGGAGGGTATACACATGACCTCCTCAGCAGTAAACACACGTTGGTGGCTAAAAAGTTGGTCCGGCCATGGCCTGACCAACGGGCGGACCGGTTCCGCCGGGCCTAGCTTGGCAGCTTTGCCCGTGGTTTTGAGACTTATACCCTGATCCCCACTGTTAGGTGCTACATCTACCGCTGGGTTATTTGTGATATCCCTAGCTTCCAAAAAAACACGGTTCGCGTGAGACTTGACTGGAAGCCGAGTGTTCCAAACTGAGACAAAAATTGACTTTTGTAGGGTTGAGGAAAGAGAGCTGTGGTAATGTGTTTCTTGGTGTTGTAAACCTTCCTTTGAGTCGATTTCCATTGAGACCCAATGGAAAACAAATAGCAGATCCTGCAGGTATGATGCAAGAACTCTTCGCCCATTTCGCCAAGATATTAGAGAGGTTTCGCGAATTACCTTAGTAAAAATCTACGGAAAGTCGCGGAACCTCCCTCTTTGGAATGTATTACTAGCTAGAGGGAGATGAATTCATGTGCCGCCATGGCTTAGGGGTTAAAGCGCCTGTCTAGTAAACAGGAGATCCCCGGTTCGAATCCGGGTGGTGGCTGGTCGCTGATGATGAGAGTGCCGAGTCTCTTGATGGTTTGTGTCCATCACCACCCACTTGTCTGGGATAAGACGGCTCTCCGAGGCTTCTTTTTTTTCTTTTCCCCTCATGTTTAGGATAGTTTCAGTTAGTTTTTAGTCTGCCATTATGTTCCTGCGTCACACGAATTGAATAAGAATTTTTCTTTTCCCTCCACTCTACCTACCTTCCTTCTTGAAATCAGGGATTCCTTCGTTGTCACCTTGAGTCTCCCGATGGTCCGTGCCCATCTTCTTCCAGTTCTCTTGGTTTTGCTTTTATATCAGTATACATACCTCACTTCATCTAAAAATGGATTTCTGGTGGTTCAAACTGTGTAACTTTGATCCAACAGCATCTTCCCTTCTTTTCCTTATTTGTTTCTGCTGTCGTGCATGGGTGGCCATGCCCATTTGAAGGTTCTTGGAAATTTAAAGATCGTGGCCACCGTCGTCGTCTACAAGCTTATGCTGCACAGGTACGTAGGCGGCAATGCCGCAGAGAGCTTTGCTGATGATCATCACGCATACTCTGTACATGGTGTAAATTACCCTGCTCTGTTGACGTGGTCTGTATTCCCAAGCTGGTTGGTTACCTGCCCACACTCATTGTGTCCACTGAGCCTCGCGGCTCCGAGGATCATGGTGTAGTTTTCTAAGAGGCCGAAGCTGACGTCAAACTTCTTTTCCTAGTACAGTAGAGCATCGACTATCCGGACAATGGATTATCCAGAATGACAAAGACCCTATCCATAAAGAAAGAAAGATGCGGATCGAAGGAATACCGTTAGCCAGTGCAGTTGTGTAGTCTGTATATCTACCATGTCACGATGTGCTTTTCCGCTGCCGACATCAGTGCCGACATCAGTGCCGACATCAGTGCCGACATCAGTGTCCGCATGAATGCATGGTGTAGCTGCATGTAGCACATGATCTTGTAAGCGGTTTCGATGATAACATCGTAGAAATTAATGTGATTGATGTTGATGTATCCCATGCAAGTTTTAGCCTTATTTAGTGCATGTGCTCTGTGACTCTCTCATTATCCAAACACTTCCCTTATCCGAACCCTTCTGAAAGAAGCGTCTGCCCAGAGGGTTCTGATAAGCAATGCTGTACTCTACCTTTGAGCAAGTACTTCGAAGTAACGTTTATACCAAGAGTACATAACCACGAGTGTGCAACTCCTATCTCGAGCTGTGATGGGTTCACCCACGGTGGGATTTCTTCATTGCGTCATTCTTTGGCAGAAGTATGATCAAGTGCGTATGCTTTTCCGCACTTTTGTAGATACGGTGAGAGTTCATCAGGTTCAGGACGAATCGATCTATTGTCCGTTGTTCTGCTTCGACTACCGTGGCTGTGATGTACGAATTCTTTGTACTTTGATCTCTGCCTACACATAACGGTATCAGTGAGCCAAACTGCAGCCGCCGAAAACTGATGTCATGAAAAAATTCCGCCGTGGGCTGGGAGATCGTCGAGTTGCACACTCTTAGTTATGTTCTCTTGGTATATACTCGTACTGGTGAGGGATTGCTCTGAAGAGCTGCTTTGCTGGCATCCGCGTAATAGCGTTGTGTTTTATGAAGCTAGCTGCTATGTACAGTGACAGTATATGGTATGTTTTTCGTGCCATGGCCTGCGATTTCTGCTACAGGCACATTGGCAAGCAAAAGCTATTGGCGATTGGGTGCATCCTTGTTGCTGGTGTTCTCAACGGGTGAGTGGTGCCTGTACAGTGTCATCTGAGATTGGGTCTCACAAACTCATATTATGTTCAGTAGCAACTAATGAAAGAAGAAGGAGAATACAAGGGAAAGCTTCTACACTCACAGTGAATTTCGAGGGGGGGGGGGGGGGGCAGGAAACCTAGATGAGCCCACCCTCTTTGGGATGACTCTGGATCCACCTGTCGCGAACGCGATCGTAATTTCCATAATTATCACTTAGACATAAATTTGTAGTGCTAGAGCCTGTTTTTTCTGACCTTGCCGCGCTCCTTCCATATTCTGAATGGCTATAGGCATGCGCAGTATGGTACGCGCGCATATTAGGCATGCGCGATCTTGACCCGTATAAATTAGGCATGCGCGTTCCTAATCAGCCTCTCCTTTTTATGATCACCAAGATTGACCTCGTGTTCTTATGACTCTTGTGTGAATCCAAGTTTGCAGGCAGCTCGCCTTTTAGAGCAAGATGTCATGAGTGGATTGTTTGTAGTGCAACTGGCATGAGTATTGTTAGATCAGGGTAGTCGCACGGCGACACCACCACTGATTAGCCAACTTAGAAATGACAACTCACCGAGGTCAGTGCAGGAGGATAATATTTCAGGATAAGTGCATGCAGGGTATTTCAAGTGTGTAGGACCTGTCAGTTCCAAATGTGGAAGGGACAAGCTTAACATACATATGGCAACAGTCAGCATTACAGCATCGGGTATGGCATTGGGTACAGCATTGGGTACAGCATTGGGTACAGCATTGTTTGTTTGTTTATTTACGGATTCTCCAGAGGTAAATGGATACCTATCATGGGAGTCTCACCAAACCAATAAAATAATGAAAATAAAATTATGTATGGAGCGCAAAAAACTCAAATTCTGAGATTTTCTAAGTCAAATGAGAGGAAGAACAATAGATTGAGAACCAGGGGTGCTAATAGAACACTGGAAAGGCACTAAAACAAAATAACTGCAGTAGCGGATTTAGACTATATTGTTCCACACATGAAACTAGGTATGCCGGAAACTGAGAAGCGGTAAACTTCATACAGCTTCCTTACCTGGCGATTAAATAGCGTGGGACTATCGAGTGAACGTATATCAGCAGGAAGTTTATTCCAAGCAACAGCGATAAGGAAAAGGAAGGATTTAGCGAAGTATTTGCCAGTTGGTGGAAGGACAAGAGACTTGGGGTGTAGGGAGGATGATGAAAATCGAAATTTGAAATCAAAGAGAACAGAAGGAAAGGTGTAGACAATGTGGTGAAAATAGCATAATGAAAGGATCTGTAATCGCCATTTTATAGCTTCCCAGCCTGCACGCTGGTTAAGATTTTCTTTTGGAGTCATCCAATCTGGCTTCCTCTCTAATTTAGCGGCAAGATATCCTCTGGCTGCAGATGCTTGGAGCCTACTCATACTATCCTGGTCTTGGACCGCCAGAGAGGAAAACCAGACGGGGATAGAGTACTCTAGGGTAGGGCGAACGTAGGACTTATACAGGATAGAAATGATCGATGGAGGAAAGAAAAGAGCCATACGACTAAGCAAGAACACTCTGCTACGAAATTTAGAGATAATGGAACGAATGTGCGCACGGAAATCTAGGGAGGGGGTTAATATGACTCCAAGATGGCGATGAGCCTCAGGTCGACATAGGCTAGCTTCATTCATCTGAACAGTTTGCTCTGCTGCCGTGGTCCTGCCTGAGTGGAATACAATAGATACACGCTGCTAGATCAGTCTCAATCTGAGACAAGTGAGCCGTAATTGTGGTAGTCGGTGGTGAAATGCACAGAATGTTGGAGTCATCCGCAAAAAAGGCTCAAGGTGTTGGTAGTCACTGTTTGGATGCTGTCGATCAGTATGTTAAATAGGAGTGGGCCTAGATGAGAACCCTGCGGCACTCCTGCCCCCAACGGATGTAGAGATGAAACTTGATCACCAATTTGAACATGAATAGAGCGTCCACAGACAAAGGATCCGAGCCATTTGACTGAAGATGATGAGCAGAATGAGGAGAAAAGCTGCAACAGGACAGAATGGCTGGCTTTATCGAATGCCTTTGATGAGTCCAGGTAGAGTCCGTCGCACAAAGCTTTGCTGTCAAAGGCTCTTCTTATTGAGGACGTCATTTGGACTAGTTGGTCAGTGGTAGACCGCTGCCGGCGAAACCCGAACTGGTGCGTACGGAGGAGGGTATTGGCCTCCACAAATGTAGTCATTTGCTTGCTCATCATGCTTTCGAACACCTTCGCAACTCCGTGGAGCAGGGAAATGGGGCGATAAGAGCCAGGACTGCCTTTGCTTCCTGAACCTTTGTATACTGGGATAACAATAGAGATTTTCCAATCAGATGGAACCATGCCAGAGGTGATACTGAGGTTAAATATAGCTGTTAGTGAATCAGAAATACTGGGAGCTGTTTCTCGAAGGATTCGATTAGGGAGGGGTCCAGACGTGCGTTTGTACCGGGGAAGGTGTGATAGTGTTGGGTACAGCATTGGGTACAGCATTGGGATTGGGTATGGCAACTGGTCATTCGCTCTGACACGAATGCACGCTCGTGAAAGCCTGAAGACCATGCACTCAGACGTCACTGAGCACGTGTCAATCGGAAAGTAACACGGGTTAAATAGCAGGAGTACAATGTCATGATTCGCGGGTGGGGGTGGGTGGGGGGGGGGGGCATACACAGTGCATTGGTGTAGCTGTATACGTGTCATCAGTCAGATAGCACAGTGTGCCATCGTCATACAGGGGCGTCGCACACGGTACGGTCACTACGGTATATTGATCGTACCACTATTTGCCCCAGGTACTGTAAAGCCGGAAAGTCTAACGAGACACAACGTCTTACGTTTTAACGACCAAATTGTATTCGTTATTTGAAAAAAAAAAACGTTATCGCTAGAGGTCTGTGTAAAGATGCGCATACAGATGGGTGGCCGACTAGCCATCGTTAAACTTTCTGCTTGTAATCATGCTAAAATTAGAAAAACGTTAAAAACTTTTTGGTCGTTAGACTTTCCGGTTTTACAGTACCGCGCAAATCAATAAAATGCACTGATTTGGGCTCTAAATTTCCAAATTTTTCGGCTCAGCCATCCCTCCCCACGAGTAAATTGTACTTCAGATGACTGACTGTACCACACTAAAATACCTTCCGACGTTGCCCCTGTCATAACACTACAGTGTCAGCAGGCTATAGTATAGGAACGTAAGTTAGTTATCGTGTAACTCCTCTCCTCCAAAAGCAATATGGCAGCCAGGGTTACAGGATCGGGTTGCGAACTTTGTGCTTGCTCTGGATTCATATAAACTTTGAACCAAGAGTGACACAGTTCGCCGGATCATGTCCACTCTGATTTCTTACCGGTGTGTGTGTGTCTGTGCTTTGCTTCCTCAGTTTGGCTGGACGGTACGCTGGTAATGCCACTGGGGAAGACGAAGCTCTTGTGACGGTGCGGGTGACAATGGTTGGTGTTTGTATGATGCTGGTCTTGTCTGTCAGCTCAGCTATTGCTGCTGTTTTCACCGGTGAGTGCAAAGAGCTGGGCGTTTTGTCCAATTTGGTGTATGATGTCATAACTCTGGATTATGAGGTCATACCTCTGTAGTACTACCGTAAAGTACCGCGAGAGCGTCCTGTCTTGCGAGAGCGCCCCACCTTGATTTTACAGCCAAGGGAAGGGAAATTGTATGGCAGAGCGCAACTAAGTTTGTACGGTTTGAGAACCGTAGTGTACGAAGGTCACACTTGGCATGTTTCCTGTGGAGCTTGCATCCACTCGATCAAAGGTAAACCAAGTACAGAATGACTGCACAATGTGCAATGTGTGTACACAGTCTCGTATGACCTACAGACCAGCTCCACAAAGACAACCACGAAAGGGCGAGATGATGGCGGGGCACTCTTGTGGTACTGTATACTTCGAAGTACACTGCACGGTCCTCACTTGGTAGCCAACATGGCTAGGTTGGATGATTGGATCATCTACAGTCAACTTCGCTTATAACGACACTCGGCGGGGCATCAGAAAAGTGTCGTTATTCACAAAGTGTCGTTATACCCGAAGTCTCATTATATGTATTACAGTTGGATGGGACTTTGCTCTGGGCATGGAAATTCCGTCGTTATTCGCGAATTGTCGTTATATCCGCAGTCGTTATTAGCGAAGTTGACTGTATAACAAAAAAACAGCACTTATGGTTCCCGCTGGATCATCTGTGACAATCATTCTGAAGTACTAGTATTCAAACTGCTTGAAATGGCATTTGCTCTAAGCATCTCAGATTCTCGGTTTGTTGCGCCAATCTTTGCTATCATAGAGAAACTTCTGAAGCACGAGAAAGGCGGCATTCATTTCCTGAATGTGTGTCTGTATGGCAGTGGAGTGATGATGAATTCTGCGACAGTAGCCATGGAACTTGCGGGAGAGGAAACCCAGTTGGAAGGTATGTACAGGTGGACAAGAATGTCGGACTGATTGAAAGTATGCTGCAAGCTAACTTAGAGTTCATGACAGCAGTGTGCGTGTACACGCACACCAAGGCTGACGGTGGATATCCACTGCAAGGACAGTTACAACACCGACAGCAACAAAACCAGCAACTGCACTGGCCAGTGAAGCTGGAAACCATGCGTGGGTAAAGAGCGGCAGTGAGGCACGCACGCATACATGTATGGCTTCATGACATTAAACCCTGCTGTATTCACGAACCCAAATATGCACACGCTACCATGGTGGCACAAGTTTGCCTGCATGCAGTGCTGCTATAGACTCCTCTTCCAGGCCTGCCCGTAGCATTGGACCAAGACTACATCCCCACCGTGTGTGTATGTGTGTGTGGAGGGGGGGGGGGGGGGGCTAGAAAACGTTTTGAAAATAGAGCGCATTTTGTCACAATGATCTATGCATTCCTGGCATGAATCTCACACCTCCAGGACAATGTACTTGTGTGTGAAACCGAATAGGTTTTGATATTGCCTTCTCCCTCTGACCCCCGCCACACGACAAAGCACAGATCTGTTAGCTTCTCACAAGGCATTCTGGTGAAGAAAATGGTCTAATGATCATTCAGATGTTGCTTCTAACACGGAGGACTCGGAGGGAGGTGCTTGCAATACAGCTGGTCTACATTGCACTTGGACAGAAACTATACGAATACATGTCTTCAGTGCTTTCTGGACTAAGCTCCCAAATTTTGGGAAACAGGTGTCAGGCTGTACATTCAGTTGCCCTTTCCCCAGTCCTGACCGGCTGCCTCTTCCTCACCGTCCTGCTGGCCAGTCTCTTCTTGCTCCTTGTTCTGCTCCTCCTGCTACTCTAGGCCTCCTCTCAGTCTTGCTTCTGCTCATCCTGTGTGTCTCTTCTTGCTGCAGGTGGTGTTCATGCTCTGTTGGCAAGCGTTGTGAAGGGATTCACACCCATTTGCTGGTTTATCGTCTTGTGCCAGGTATGCATGGTAGGGTATTTCCTTGCGGGCGGTTCCTGATTTGCTTACAGGCTCCCTTCATCTGACTTGCTTCCAGGCATATTTCGACGCCAGAAATGATCAAGACCACGATGGGACAGGGGTGGTTGATGCTTGTGCCTGTATGCCTAAAACCTGCGCTCAGAGATGCACAGAATGTTTGGTAGGAAACCACTGACATGAGTCCCGAAATAAGACCTTGTACCCCCAGGGCATTTACCACTCATTGATTCTTACTCAAGAAATAAGTCAAGATAGTCAAGAGATTTGATATGCTGACCGTGAAGAATGAGTGTTGGCGAGCTATTGAACCGTAGGCTACGCAGCTGATGGATGATCTTTAAAAGCTCAAACGTATTGTGTGACGACAAGTCTGCTGAACTTCTGCAATGAAGGGCACTGCCAGGAAGCGGAAGTGGGAGGATGGAGGGCTGCCCTGACCTTGATTGCCATTCGGTGAAACTACAGAACCTTCAGTCACACTCAAATGATAAGTTGACACTCCATGGTGTACCAGTGTCACATTTCTTTCCTTTGTGCTCTCTTCTTGCCCAGGTGGCGAGTGGCTTGCTGATGAGTGTTGTTCTGAAGTACGCAGGCAATCTACTACGCTTGATGATAATTGCATGTGCCGTACTGGTCAATGTGCTGGCTAGTGTGCTGATCTTCTCCCTGCACATTCCTCAGTTATTACTCTTTGCTCTGCCTATTCTTGTGCTCGGCCTGGCCTTGTACACGGCAGATCGAAAACCATCGTGAAACCGGTGACCATCATGTTTCCTGCACGTGTCTGCTACACTGGCTTATCAAGGGAATCAAGGGAACAGTTGCATCTCTGTGTTTGTAGTTTGACAATCTTCCACGTTATATCATGTTTACATACCGTGACTTTTGGATAAAACTGTGTACTGTAGTTACAGAGTCCGCTGAAACTGAAGAGAGAAATACTGACAAAGTCTGAGACCACTGATGAGAACTTCAAGTGTTAGAAGGTTTTGTAGGAAGGCACACATACGAGTACATGATTGTGCATGTGCCGGAAGAACGTGAAACTTGAAGGTGCGACCAAGCTTCCTGCCTCCTTTTCTCCCTTCCTCTCCCCGCCCCCTTATCTCTCTCTCTCTCTCTCTCTCTCTCTCTCTCTCTCTCTCTCTCTCTCTCTCTCTCTCTCTCTCTCTCTCTCTCTCTCTCTCTCTCTCTCTCTCTCTCTCTCTCTCTCTCTCTCTCTCTCTCTCTCTCTCTCTCTCTCTCTCTCTCTCTCTCTCTCTCGCTCGCTCGCTCTCTCTCTCTCTCTCTCTCTCTCTCTCTCTCTCTCTCTCTCTCTCTCTCTCTCTCTCTCAAAGCAACTATTAGTATGCTCAACGGCATACACTGATTCCTCACTTGCTCCTCACATTCATTACTGCTAATACGACATTAGTTTACAGGGGCGTCGGAACCGGTGCGGCAGGTGCGGCCAAAGCCGCACCAATAATTTTCGAATTTTTATTTTTTATTTTTTACATTTCAACCTTGTTGGTGGCTTGTCGACTCTTGTACAGGTACCATGTTTTACATCGACAATGCGGTGTATCATCAGCATGCATATTCTTTTTTTAAATTATTCTGTAGCGTTAAATATGGCTTTTTAGGCCCAATTTTCACAAATTTTCTTGGGGGACGACCCCCGGACCCCCTCTCACACATTGGCCGCACCAATGTTAAACTCCTTCCGACGCCCCTGGTTAATCCTGTTCCTGTCCTATATTTCTGGGTAAGTGGTAGACAGCCAGTGTTGGCTCGTGGTTACTGATCCAGTGGCAATCAGAATTTAACAAGGCGTTACTGTACATTCATGTACCGTAGGCTACCATGAGATTTTAGATTGACTGAGGTTTGTACTTATAACGGTTCTAGACTCCTACCTGAGTGCGGAGTCGAAACTCAGCAACCATCACTGTAAGTACACAGCCCTCCGGAACATGTACATGTAAAATGGTTTCTAGGACAATTATGTATAACGCAGCATTGTAGCTACTTAATGTATACTGCTTTGCCCGGAGTTTGTGCCGCGTGACTCAGCCATTCAGGCTTGAAACAACCAGTTCCCCACGTAGATCTACACACCACCATCTCGACATCAGTGTTACCAAGAGTATAATTATAACACCTGGGGGGGGGGGGGGGGGTATACTTTTTGCTTGCTTGTAGTTTTGGTGTTACTGCTAGCAAGAAAATGGTCATTATGGTCACGGGCCGCTATGGACGTTTGGCAAAAGTCCAGACCATAGCCGCTCGTGACCATTTTCTTGCTAACCGGGCCGCTGAGTAACACTGATGTCGAGATGGATCCACCATGTCACTACCATGACTGTCATGGGTATGTGCCAGTATAGTCACGTGTACTATACTGGTACATACACATGACTTTTTTTAAACACATACCCACAAGTCTGTGGTAAGACTCAAGCGAAGAAGAGTGCATAGCCCCCTCTATTGTCGTATTGATAGCTCGCCTCTTTTGATTGATTTTTGATTTTTATTTCACGGATCCTCCAGAGGCAAATAGATGCCTATCGAAGGGAGTCTCCTAAGTAAGTATGGAAAATGAGAAAGTATGTTCGTAAGGGAGAAGAGGTAGAAGATACATTAGAATATAGAGTACAGAAGAAGTAAATTCAGTACTTCGGGTAGTACATTGCATGCTAATCATAATGAGAATTAGAAAAGCAGCATTGCGGACTACTATAACTGACATATACACAAACTATTGAAACTATCATAGATGTGGTTAGCCTAGACACAAAAGTCAGGAATACCTTTCAAAGAAAACATAGATTGCGAATGATACCGACGAACAGCAATACTAAATTTCGCTGTTGTAGAGAGTGAACGAATATCTTCAGGAAGTTTATTCCAGGCAACACTCAAAGAAAAAAGGGTTGATTTACGAAAGAAGGTGCCAGCTTTAGGAAGAATTATGGATGAAGGGTGACGACTGCTTTGGGAAGAGGGTAGCTGGAAGTGAGACAACAAGGAGGGGTATTGGGAGAATACATGGTGGAAATAGACAAGGCCAAGAATCTGCCGTCGCCATGCTAACGATTCCCAAGAGGACAGAACATTGAGGTCTTCTTTGGAAGTCGTCCAGTCAGGCCGACGCTTGAGTTTACTATTTAAGTATGCTCTAGCAGCAGTAGCCTGCAGTTTATCAAGGGTTGTGGACATGGTGGCTGAAACGGAAAACATCCAAACGGGAACAGCATATTCAAGGAGGGGACGAACATAACATTTATACAAAAGATTCACAGCAGGAAAAGGAAGGAAGTTGGACATGTGGTTTAAAAGAAAAACCCGACCTCGAAATTTGCTGGTAATGTGTTGAATATGGGGGGACAGATTGAGTGAAGGAGTGAGGATGATGCCCAGATGGCGGTGGGAAGAGGGCTGGGTCAGTAACGTACCGGCCATGGTGACGGTCCTGGGATCAGGTGGGTTTGATTTAGGTCTGCAAAAGGGAACATGGACACATTTGTTAGCATTGAAAACTGCTTCAGCTTTATGGGACCAGTTCACACATCTATCAAGGTCTAGTTGCAGGGAGGCAGTGTGCGCGGCGGGTACGACAGTAGGCGGAGAAACGCAGACCATGTTGGAATCATCCGCAAACAGAGTCAGATCGCTGGATTGGGGAATGCTGGGAAGGGAGTTGATAGAAAGGTTGAATAATAGAGGGCCTAGGTGGGAGCCTTGTGGCACACCAGCGGTGAGCGACATATGGGTTGATAAGGAGGTTCCGACCCGCACAGACATCGATCGGCCTTCCAGGAAGTCCATCATCCACGCGAATGAGTCAGGTGCACACCAACCGGACAGACATGAGGCTAGGAGGCGATGGCTGGTACGATCAAATGCCTTCGAGAAATCGAGAAAGACGGCATCACACTGGGCCCGGTTATCAAATGCAGAGCTGACAGTTGATGTGATATGCACAAGTTGGTCAACCGTGCTTCGGTGGTGGCGAAACCCGAACTGTTTCGGCGACAGTAGTTTGTGTTTCGCTACAAACGCGTACACCTGGCGGCTGATTAACGCTTCGTAGCATTTTGCCACACCATTCAGCAGAGATATCGGCCGGTAGTTAGCAGGGTCATTGCGACTTCCCTTACCCTTGTAAATTGGGGTAACGATTGCAACTTTCCACTCAAGGGGTTGGGAACTTGGGATCGGTAAGTGGTGCAGCGGTTAAAGAGAGCAGTGAGGGATTGGGCGAGCACTTCTGCTGTCTCTCGTAGGATCCTGTTAGGAAGACTGCCAGCTGTAGACTTTCGCACACTTAGTTAGGGTCTTCTCTTCTCTTCTCTCGTCTTGATGCATGTCACCATGGTTACGAACGCTCAAAATAAAGTGACCATGGTGATCGATATCATGGCAGCTTTTTTTTAGTAGTTTCAAATTTTTTACTCTTTTGCCACAGATTTGATCCGCATTTGATCCACGTGATTCCATGGTTACGCAAAATGTCGGCGTTTTAGGGTCGGAAAGTGACAGCAGTAAATGCGTCTGCTGTGTGATCGACGTGAGGTCTTCATTACTACATTAGTCATTAGTGGGTAGTGCAATGGCCAATGCAGTGTTTCGACGTTCAAGCAGGAGCCACAGATGCAAACCCTTGTAGGTCTCAGTGACTTGTAGCTTGACGACTCTCCAGCTGCTTTCAACAAGAGTATAAGCTCCAAGCTTTTGCTCTTGGTGCCACTGGTTACAGTCTAGTAGTTGCATGACAGTTGCAGACAACGGTCAGGCTTTTCCCAGTTTGGGTACGTCGACTGCTGACGACCGACTAATCATAAAATTAATGATACATACCAGGGAGTCAGATGCACGATGGATTCTCTTGTCCCTGTACCAGAGGAGATCAAGATCATAGTTATCGGTGACTCGAACGTAGGAAAGTCTAGCCTGTTGACGCGTTTTTGCAACCAACAATATAACGAGCACCAGCAGACCACAGTTGGCAGCGAGCACTATGCGCGTGACCTGCGAACCGAGCAAGGTTTAGTGAAGGTTAGTTGATGCGCTATCGGTCGCATTTTCCTATTGAATCATTTGTGCTGCTTGGCAATGCCCATTGCTACTATTGGAGCTACTCAGTCTCTGGTAGAGGTTTGGATTGTGTAAATCAACAGAGACTACTGGTGTTGTGTAGCAGCTGATACTACAGTCCATTCATTAGAAAGTAACATCCCCGAGCATATTTTTCTTAGCTCATGCAAAAAAAATTTCGGATAGTGTTATCACACTGTATCCGCGGCGGCATTCCCAGCACCCCGGATACAAGACAACCCATTTCATTTTCTATACATAGGTCTGTTGGCCTTGCCCGAATAGCAGGGCCATAGCTAGCACCGGGATTTCAGGTACTCCAGCCAAAGGGATGCTTGACCGGAAATGAACATTACAGTGATGAGAAACTTGAAACATGATTTTGCGGCATGGCTCGGTACACTTGACCGAAATGAGGTCCGCCATGGCCGCAACAGCCAGACTGAGTGCTACCGGGCTCAGCGTAGTAAGCATTAAGGTGAGGTGAGATTCTTCTGTGTGCACTGTGTCTATGGATTCTTGTCCACTACCAGCTAAACCTGTGGGATACTGCTGGCCAGGAAAGATTCAGGGCTATCTCAAAAACCTTTTACCGCAGAAGCGATGCTGCACTGCTTGTGTTCGACTGGACCAATGCGAAGAGCTACGGAAGCTTGTGGAGCTACTGGAGCACTGAAGTGCAAAAAGTCTGGTAAGCCAGCCGGTCATTTTAGAAGATTACAGTTGTGTAATATGAGATTTGCTGTGCCTGTCTTAAGTTAGGTAGACTGGTCTGCATTCAGTGGTATACATTCAGCGGCAGAGTCCTAACTGATCAATCTTGTACAACCCCGGCAGTGTAACTTGTGTCTTGCTCCGATGATGATTATGTGCAGCGAAGATATTCCGTTAGTAGTTGTCGCGAACAAGTGCGATTTGGAGTCATCGATGGATATCGAAGAAGTTCGCGTAAGTTATGTGAATAGCTCAAGCTTTGCTGGGGAATTTGCTTGTTTTGACTTATATGACGATTGAACTTCGGACATTGCTGATTGGCGGGAGTGATTGCACACTGAATTATGACAACAAATGGTGGCTTGTCAGCGGTCGCGGGTGACTGCCGGATCCGAAACTACAGTCCATTCATCGGAAACTGGCCCGCTGGCTTTTGAAAGTCGGATTTGGGCCGAATTGAGGATCAAAAACCCACTTTAAATCTCAAAAATCTGGGTTTTGGATCTGCTTCTCCATACATTTTGCCATGGCATACCTGTCCTAATTTTGTAAAACCTGGCTGAATTTCTATTTCCCTGTTCTTGGACTTTTCTGGCCTCAAATGTGGCAAGGAGTAATTGCACGGGTCACACAATGCAGGATGTACTGTTGTTTTCACGATATCTACAACTATGTGAGAGAGAGACAGCAAAAAGTTAGGGTGCCAGTTTCCAATGAATGGACTGCAGGTCAATTTTATGGGACTCAATAAACTAACATAATTTCTAGAGTAATGCGCTTTGACTGAGGATTTGAGTGCGTAGCAATTCAAAAGAACAGTTGTCATTTGACCGGCCTAATGTAGTAGTCCATGCGGGTTTTTTGGCAATTCAGAACACTAGAAAGTGTTCCATGACGATAGGCTGACATCAGTGGATGTTTGAAGTAGTAACAGTTGCTTATGCCGAGAATGGCTAAAGCCAGGATCTGGTACACTGGCGGGTAATCGGCATACGAAGCAAAGTAATGATGTACCGTAGTACACTGCATCGTCATATCAACTTCACTGCATCATGCCATTCCTCACACTATATGTTGGACTCAGTAGAGCGTCCAGCCCCTATATGATGTCCAACCCCTATATAGAGTCCATTGGTCCAAAATCCACTGTACAGAGTCCAAACTTGGAATCAAATAATTATACGAAACGAATGCATACGTGGGCGGATGCGCGCACGTTTACATACGTGTAGTAGCGTAAGAGAGTAACATAGTGCAGTAGTCAGCATAATACTAGGACATGCTGAGAGTGCAATAGCAAGCTTCACCATTGCTCATGGCCATGCAAATGTTCAGCAGCACTCAGTTCCGCAATCTTCTGAAGATCAGCACACCTGCAACAAATAGATAGCACAAGGATACGCGTATTACCGTAATGATGCATGGAAGCACACAACTACCAAGTTCTCAACGAATGTAATGCTCAATGAAAATCCATCCACTCAAAGACCTGTGAACAGGTGACGGTGGGGACAATAATCTATTAGCAATACGAGGAATACTGTAAGACATGTATAATATTACGAGGAAGCAAATCTAACGTTTTAACGGATGACATTTCTTCGTTATAATAAGATCCGTTGAGGCCGTACTGATTCATATTATGCTATGTGTGGATATGGCAGAATACTGCAAGATCGTTAACATTATCTTCTCGTTAACCTATGAATTTTTGGACAATCGTTAAATTTGCGACTCGTTATAATAACATGTCTTACAGTAAGATCCTTTGTGCACACTCAAGATGCACAGACACACCACCATACATGTAGTGTACACAGTGTTTCACTTCACTGCAACTAAATTGAAATGAGATGATTTGAACAATCTGTACAGCGTTGCCGTCAGTCAGTCTTCCCCAAGATGGAAATGCAATGATTTGTTGTCACGAGGCAGTTTCACTGACACAATGTCATGTTTGTGACATCAAAACGGTTACTTCATGGAATACGAGTACATGTATTAGCTTGAGAAGCTTTTTCTTGTCATCGGCATACGAGAAATCCTCCTCCTCCTCCTACTACTACTACTACTAGTACACTGGCACTGCGTTTGTGGATCCCATTGTATTTGACATCATACTAGAGCCTAGTAGAGGAAGAGTGTCGTGAAGTTCACATAATTATCACAGGTGTAGTGGATGCACATCCCACTGTTTGTCATTGTATCCTTTTATGTAACATGTATGCATTCATCCGGCCGCGCTGTGCGACATGCCAGTTGTACCGTACGCACTTTAGCTGTACTTGCCTGCCTGGCTTTTCCTTTGACCTCTCTGTCGTTCTCTGGATTCCCACACACTTGTGATTTGTAGTAACGAAGCTAGTTACAAGATGTCTTTGGTGCGTTTGTAGAACCACTACATGGTGTCAGAATTGGTTTTCCTGTAGTCTTTGGCCTCGTGAGCGGTGATGGCTCGTTTCAACCCTCCAGCGCCTTTCGACTTCAGCTCACCGGACCAGTGGCCCGCGTGGAAACTCCGTTTCACCCGTTTTCGTGCCGCCACCAAACTGAGTTCCGACCCGGGAGAAACTCAGGTGGCCACTTTGTTGTATGCTCTCGGACCCAACGCCGACTCCTTGTTCGAGTACCAACTCGGACTATCCGAGGACGACAAGAAGAAATATGACGAGGTCGTCAGTGCTTTCGACACGTACTTCCGCCCCTCTACCAATGTTGTTCATGAACGGGCTAAATTTGAACAGCTTGTACAACAACCCGGCCAGACCGTAGAGGAGTTTGTCCGTGCTCTGTACAAAGCCGCAGAGTATTGTGAGTTTGCTGGCACGAAGGATGAGCGTATCAGAGACCGCTTCGTCGCCCACATGCTGGACAAGCGGGTGAGTCGGGAGCTGCAGATGAAAGACAAGAGCGAGCAAACTCTCGCCAAAGTTGTTGCGTTCGCACGGCACGCCGAAACTGTCCAGCAACAGGTTGCAGCCCAATCGCGCAGTGGCTTGGCCGCCGCCAGCTCGATTTCAGACGATGATGCCTCAGCCTCAGCTGTCCAGTCGCACCGTGGTGGTCGATCTATGCCGAAGAGCAGACCGCATGGTAGCTACAAATCTGCAGCAACGCCGCCTGCGACCGAATCGAAGTGCCCGAACTGTGGTGGAAGCCACCACTCGCAACGCGATCAGTGCCCAGCCAGAGGCCAGTGCTGCAAAGCCTGTGGCAAGCGCAACCACTTCGCGCGAGTTTGCCGATCGAAACCGTCCACCTCTGCCGTCACGAACGACTCTCCGGACTCTCTATTTGTTGGCCACACGACGTGCGCACAAAGTGTAAGTGATTCACCCTGGTTGGCAGATCTAGCTATCGGAAAGAGTGTAGTCCAGTTCAAGCTAGATACTGGAGCTGATGTCTCTACCATGTCCGTGCAATCATACAATACACTGCAGCCCAAGCCGTCCTTATCTGCTACTAGTGCTCAGCTGAGAGGAGCGAATGACCAGACTATGCAGGTCCTGGGTGTATTTGAGGCTCACTGCTCCTTTCAATCCCAGTCCACTACCATACCCATCTTTGTTCTAGATGGTGCCAGCACTAGCCTGCTCAGCCGATCTGCGTGCACAGCACTGGGTCTAGTCCAGCGTCTGGCTGAAGTGCAAGGTCCAGTCCCACTCGTACAGTGTATGGTTGGTCCTGCTGCGCAGATTCACTTGACTTCCGACGCCACACCGTATCACTGCCTCACAGCTCGCAGAGTTCCTCATCACCTGTATTCGAAAGTACGTGAAGAACTGCACCGCATGGAAGATGGCGACATCATTGCGCGTGTCGACGAACCCACAGACTGGTGTTCGCCTATGGTGCCCGTCCTCAAACCTAACGGCAAGGTACGCATCTGTGTCGACCTGAAGCGTCTTAATGCGTCTGTCAAGCGGGAGACATTTCAGCTGCCAACGTTAGAAGATGCCCTGTCTTCACTGGCCGGAGCGACTGTGTTCACGACATTGGACACTGCTAACGGATTCTGGCAAGTCCCACTCAGTCCCGACTCTGCCCGTTTGACCACCTTCATCACGCCGTTCGGCAGGTTCTACTTCAAGCGACTGCCATTCGGCATCACATCAGCACCTGAGATTTTCCAGAAGCGTCTCACCAACCTTCTGGACCAGCTCCCCGGCGTGTTCGTCTACATGGACGATATCATTGTCTCTGGCCGTACGCGAGAAGAACACGACCGTAACCTAGCTGCCGTACTAGACATCCTGCAGAAAGCCAACGTCACGCTGAACATGACGAAATGTCACAAGCGTCAGGCCGAAGTGAAGTTCCTTGGTCACATCTTCTCCGCCAAAGGTCTCCACCCTGACCCAGCGAGAGTGTCCAGCGTCGCTAATCTGAAGCCGCCCAAGAACGTCACGGAACTGAAGCGCATTCTCGGCATGTTCGCGTTCATGTCACGCTTCATTCCCAATCTCTCGGAAGTCAGCGCTCCACTGCGTCTTCTACTGGGGCATGACACCGCATGGGAGTGGTCTGCTACACAACAACAGGCCCTGGACAAGCTCAAACAGCTTGCCACCAATGCGCCCTGCCTCACGTTCTTCGACCCAACCAAGCCCACGGTCATCAGCGCTGATGCCAGCAGTTACGGCTTGGGAGCTGTCCTATTGCAGGAGCATGACGACGGAATGCGCCCCATTGCATTTGCCTCACGCAGCCTCACCACTACTGAGCAACAGTACGCGCAGATCGAGAAGGAGTGCTTGGCTGTTGTCTGGGCTTGTGAGCGATTCCACGGCTACATTTACGGCAACTCGTCCCTCACTGTCCAGACGGATCACAAACCACTCATCCCGCTGATCAATACGCGTGATTTGAACCGTGTCCCGATGCGATGTCAACGCCTCCTGATGCGCCTGCTCACGTACAATCCAGCCGCCGTGTATGTCCCTGGCAAAGAGCTAGTTGTTGCCGATGCTCTGTCTCGCGCTCCGCTCGCCTGTGACGACACGCCTAGTCTCCAAGACGAGATCAGCATCAACCTCGCATCTTACATCGGCGAGATCGTGTCGGATGGTAAAGCCCGTGACATTGCTGACGCCACCACACAAGATGAGACGCTCAAGCAAGTCCTCCACTTCGTCCAACACGGATGGCCGTGCAACCCACGTGATGTCGACGACACTGTGCGCCCATACTTCCATGAACGCCAGTTACTGTCCTGTGAGCAAGGTGTGCTGTACCATGGCTTCCGCATTGTCATGCCACCCTCTCTGCAGCCTGAGATGCTCGAGAAGCTCCACGAGGGACATCAAGGTGCAACGAAGTGCAAGTCTCGCGCCCGCCATTCCATTTGGTGGCCAGGCTTGTCAAGGCAAATCGACACGATGGTCGCTACGTGTGAAGTGTGCACCAAACACCGCGTCCAGTCGACCGAACCACTGCAACCCGTCCAACGCCCAACACTGCCGTGGCACACGGTTGGTGCAGATCTGATGGAATTCAACGGCACGACTTACCTCGTCATTGTTGACTATCTCTCGCGTTACCTCGATGTCGTACCGCTGACTGCCACAACCTCGATTGCTGTCATCAAGCATCTGCACCGCATCTGTGCCGAGCATGGTTTCCCGTCCACCTTGGTTACAGATAACGGTCCTCAGTTTGCCAGCGAAGCGTTTACTGAGTTCTGCACAGCAAACGACATCACCCATCGCACTTCCAGTCCACGGTATCCTCAGTCGAATGGCGAAGCGGAACGTGCAGTTCGCACCGCCAAGAATCTCCTGCGGAAGGCCGAAAGCCTGCAAGATGCACTCTTGGCTTACCGCACGACACCGCTGAGCAACGGCTATGCCCCATGTCAGCTGTTGTATGGCCGCCAGCTCCGTACCGGTCTACCTGCAACGACTGAACAGCTGGAACCGAAATGGCCTGATCTCCCTAGTATTCTGGAATCGGAAACTCAGTCCCAGGAACAGCAGAAGTTGCACTACGACCAACGGCATGCAGCTAAGCCTCTCGCGACTCTACAGCTTCATGACCGTGTATTCATCACCGATCTCGAACGGGAGGGCAAGATAGTAGAGCAAGTGTCCAATCGTTCTTACCTCGTTGAGTCTGGTCACTCTACTGTTCGCCGCAATCGTCGTCACTTGATCCGACTGCCACTGCTAGAAGCAGAGAAGCCGACAGTCGAGGTTGAGTACGGTGGCACAGCAGCTGATCCAGTCCGTCGCTCTGCTAGAGCTCCTCAGCCTGTCAACCGCCTCATTGAATCATGCTAATTCAGCAACGTGCCGAGACGTATCTGCCGTCGTCTCTGCACATCACTCTTTCACTGCAACTTGCTCTACAAACAATACCTACATTATCGAATAGTCTTTGGACTCCTCATCTTCTCTATTATAGCCTGTTTAATCTCAGAGGGGAGATGTAGTGGATGCACATCCCACTGTTTGTCATTGTATCCTTTTATGTAACATGTATGCATTCATCCGGCCGCGCTGTGCGACATGCCAGTTGTACCGTACGCACTTTAGCTGTACTTGCCTGCCTGGCTTTTCCTTTGACCTCTCTGTCGTTCTCTGGATTCCCACACACTTGTGATTTGTAGTAACGAAGCTAGTTACAAGATGTCTTTGGTGCGTTTGTAGAACCACTACAACAGGGATAAAAATACATTTCTCATGAAATAAAATAATAATTGATGATAGCTAGACGATCGTATGCGTATACAATTGATGCAAAGTCCTTGCAGTCCTTGAGGACTATTACGAAGTGGTTGATTACTTTTAGGGCATTCATTCAAGCAACATCAAACAAACGCGATACGATCCTTGAAAATGGAAAAAAATTCAAGCATAACGACAGAACAGCAAACCAATCGAAACGAGTAAAAGCTTCCTTACCTCAGTCATCGTCCTGCCATGTAGTTGGACAGCCTTTTGACACGGTGGTACAGGCAGCTCTTGTCCAGTCAAACAGGGTATCCTTGTGGCGTCGAACGAAAGAGAGTGTCAGTGTATCTGACTCGTCAGATTGGAACTGTGCTGAACTTTTCTCGTTCTCCGCTTTCTGCTTTCATCCCTCGCTCTGATGAAACCGTTCAAACGCCTTACTGGCAGCAATGGCCAGCCAAACAGGGGATCCTTGTGGCGTCGAACGAAAGAGAGTGTCAGTGTACCTGACTCGTCAGATTTGAACTGTGCTGAACTTTTCTCGTTCTGCAATTTCTGCTTTCATCCCGCGCACTGATGAAACGTCTTCAGAGAACCACAAGACACGTGTCCAGATTTGATTTTGAACGTCTCCTTATCCTCCTTGGTTACCTCGAGACAGATTACTGTCAGCAACTGCACAGCAGAACTGGCAGCCATGGCTGAAGTGAAGAAAGGAATGCGCTGCCACGAGGCAAGCAAAACTGAAAAGGTGTTTGTTCTCTTCAATTTCGGACACAACACACAGGACGGCGTGACTGGATAAACTGGACTCCTGGACCGTGAATAGGGGACTTGTAGAAAAAGTGTACTCCTTATAGGGGATTGCGCGGCAGGATGAAGCTGATCAAAACTGAGTGGACTCCTGGACTCTGTATAGTGGATTTTGGACCAATGGACTCTATATAGGGTGCTGGACATCATATAGTGCATGGACTCTATACTGAGTCCTACATATATACTTCACTGCATCATGTCGTTCCTCTCACTAGATATAGATATATATATTCCTAGCTTAGAAGTAGCGACTTCGGCGGTATTAGTAATATTCCTGTCTGACAGTGACATAATATAATTATTATAAAACCTCGACAATGTTCTGCCCGTTATGTTTACTGAAGTACTAGTAAGTCGTCTGGGCTCTTCTTATGACTCGTTACACTGTATCATGCAGGAAGAATGTGACCGACGTAATGTGTGCCTGATCCGAACAAGCTGTGTCTCCGGCAATGGCGTCGAGGATGTGTTCAGGCACATTTCAAGCGAGGTTCTGGTGCGGAGGGTTCAGGCTGCCAACGAGGCTGTGTCACTTGACACCATTGCCGGCAGTTCTCTCTATTTGCAGCGGCAGGCACCTCATGAGCCAGCATCACGTGGATATTGTTGTGGGTACTGAATTTTGCACCTATCCGTGCCAGCTGATAACCACGATATGGTTATGTATGATAACCTGTGTTCTATGGTTTAATTACTCTTGACGTTAAAAACTTCTATACTTATTCTGACCGTTCTGAATTAAAACTTATCACACCCATCATACATATGGATGAGTCTCAACGCGTTGAGCCACACCACAGTATGTTATCTTGAATCTTGATTTTCACCCTACTCCATCTATATTCTATAAACCTACCTTTGAAGTACTACTGCACACATTGACTTGAGGACTGGGAGCACTAAAAAACCTTACAAGACACATTTGTACAAGTATATTCTTGTTGTTGGTTGACAGCATGTCACAAGGTGGAGGACCACTGTGTTCGGAAACAGCAACCTTACTACTTGTACAACCATCCACGGTTGGTAGAGCCCCTTGCGACTATCTGAACCGGATGGGTGCTAGCCCCGATTCTGACCCTCTGTATTCTAGGGAGTTGCCTTAGTCTTCTTGTTGTTGTACCGTCAGCCGTGTATTCTTTGTTCGCTCCTGGATGTCTTCTTGATACTCAGAGCTGACCCATACGGTTCAGGTGGGGGGAGTCGCAAGACCAGGGCTCTACCAACCGTGGATGGTTGTTGTAAGATCACTGTTTCCGAACACAGTGGTCCTCCACCTTGTTTCAGGCTGTCAACCAACAACATGATTGTTTCAACGAAACAAGGTTTATCTAATATAAAGTATATTCTTATATCTCATCTTCTTCAACAGCCGAAAGGTACCGTTCAACAGTTTATTGATATTCATCTTCTTCTTCTTTTATTTTTTAATTCTTATCCCTTTACACCTGCTTTATAATCTTGTCTGTATGGACATCCAACTACAGGAATGAATATCCAAGGTCAACCGACTGGTATGATATAGTGCAAGGTCTTCAAAAATTGCTTTCCCCGTAGTACTAGTATGCTTGTGAATATCTAGCAATAGAAATTGCTACAAGCTGCTCAGCCTACTGTTGGGATAGTTAGCATTTTACCGTTCACCCTAACTTCGACTGTCGGCCTGTTCCGGTTTTTTCTTCTTCTGGTTAATACAAGACATGATTAGCATTTCCATTTCTGACACAACAATCGGCTTGTGACATCACCTAGTTGGAATCTTAACGTCTCGTTCTCCCGGTAAACTGAGCTTTCCATCGTCAAAACAAAACCAAACCGACAGCATTTTGGGTGCTGGGTACGAGTACCGTTGGATTTAGCGTAAACGGTAAAATGCTAACCATGTCCAGTGTAGCCGGTTCGAAATGCTTCCGCAACATGTACTGTAAGACTGGATATTTAATTATAGGTTAGTGCATGGCAGGGAGGGCCTTGTGGCTTGTTAGTGACCGACAGGTTAGCCCAAGGGCTAACCTGAAGGGTGCAAACAAGCCAGTAGGCCCGACCTACCATGCACTAACTATTTTAGAAGAGGTTATTATCCCCCTTGCATAGAAGCTGACCAAGCTATGTCAGGATAGCGTTTGGCAATTGAGTTTCAATGGAAGACCTACCATGTAGAACGCATTATACGTTTGCACCCTTATAAAAAAGAGAAGAAACACATGAGAACGAGTTATGCAGCAACTATCCACGACTGTAACAAGATGATAAACGGTCAGAAAGTGCGATAATAGGGCACAAAACTGACAGTCTACTAGTACTACTCATGTAACAGATTCACTGTTACTACTAACACTAGGAATAGGATACACTTATCACCTGCTATTATCACGCTGCTGCTGTTAGGTGTTATGTCCATCATTGCTTGTTCATGTATATAAGAATGCATTATGGCAAGGATCATTGCTTATTCCAAGAATGACTACTGAAGTTAGTTGGACTGTTACACTGGTAGCAAGAGGATGGTTTTTCTTTTCGTCATGTTCGGGCTATGCGCAGTGGCCGCATTAGTCGCCTACGGTATATTCGAGATTCAGAAGCGTCTGAATCACCTTATCGCACTCGGTCAGTGCGATGGATCAGATCAAACGCCAAGACGTGCTCAAGCTCCCAGCGGAGAGAGGCCACGCATGCGCCATGTTAAGTCTCCGCCTGTGTTTCGTGGAGATACAAGAGAGTTCAAGGAGTGGGCCTTCGCCATCGAACTCGCCATGAAGTCCCTGCAGCTGGACAACGCGGAGGAGCGCTTGAGCTACGCGGCGAGTTTTCTGGAGGGCAACGCTCGTCTTTGGTTTATCGCCTCTCAGGAGGCAAACACGCTGTTTTCCGACTGGCCAGACCTGAAGAGCAAGCTGGGAGAAGTGTACGGCCCGGTTTATGACAGGGAACAGGCGCGCATCGACTTATTCGCTCTTCACCAAGATGAGACTCTTGACGAATACATCAACAAATTTTCGCGGCTTAGCTTACAAGTTCCCGAGCTTGATGACCACTCCAGAGCTATCTTGTTCACGCGTGGGCTGGCTCAGGGCCTAAGCGGTGAGGTACTTAGGGAGCATCCGCAACATTTGGCCCAAGCCATACGAGCTGCAGTCTCAGCAGACCAGTCGATGCGGCTAGCCCAAGCAAGCTACGCCAAGGCAGTGCGCGCACCAGGGCATCAGAGGCGCCAGCCTGGACCCTGGTCAAGCCAACCAACACCATCCGGTGGGAGAGAAACCAGGGAGCCAGAGGGTCGTTCAAGGCTGTGTTTCACCTGCAGGAAACCCGGCCATATTGCCAGATTCTGTCCAGAAGGAGGGAGGAACGCCACAAGCAAGCCTTCTTTAAACGATGGACGCCAGTAAGGAAGGGAGTGCGACTACTGGCGAACACGAGAGCACCCAGGAATAGGCCACGAATCAAAGTTCAGAACAAATTCAGCCCCTTAGCAAATGAGGAACCACGCCTCGAGGAGACCGAAATTCAAGCCTCGCCTGTCAAGCATTCGTCACCTGATACTGTTGGCCGGCCTAATGAAGTAACCGCCAGCACAGGGAGCATTTCCGCCGACAACGAACACGACCTAATGCGCGTCCAGGGCAAGATAAATGGACGTCGCGTTACCATGCTACTGGATTCTGGGTCAACCCACGACTTCATTTCAACTGACCTTGTCAAGAAGCACAACATCTCCACAACAACCGGTAGCGACGTCCTGAACGTCACACTTGCTGATGGATCGGTCCGCTCACAGCCTATTACGAAAACGGACAGCTTGAAGACCGTAGTCGGCGACTTTAGCGAGCACCAACAGTTCCTAGTATTCCCTATGACGCGGTATGACGTGATCCTCGGCAAACCATGGCTGACCCGGACGAACCCACAGATCAATTTTCGTACCAATGAAATCAAGCTGGAGGGTGGATCCATCATCTGTCAACCGAGTGAAAGTGATGGCACGGACAAATCCAACCCACCGATCGAGACGTTCCTCATCTCAGGGAAGCAGGCTAGGCATGCAATGAGAGGTGGCGCAGAAGGAATCCTAGCGTATGTGACAGCAGATCCGGACGAGCCACAGACGGTGGATAGTCCGGGTAGGGAGGATCAGAAGGATTTCAAGGACCTGCTGAAGGAGTTCGGGGACGTCTTTCCCGATGAGCTTCCAAACAAGCTGCCACCCAGAAGAGGCGCAGATCACGAGATAAAAACGGAAGAAGGAGCTAAACCGCCATCTCGTGCAGCATATCGTTTACCAAAACCAGAGATGGATGAGCTTCAAGCTCAGCTCACCGAGCTGCTCCGTAGAGGATTCATCCAGCCCAGCAAATCCCCATACGGAGCCCCTGTGTTCTTCGTAAAGAAAGCGGATGGAACACTTCGAATGGTATGCGACTGGCGTGAGCTAAACCGCATAACCATTAAGAACAAGGCATGCCTACCGAATATTGACGACCTCTTTGATACCGTCCAAGGCAGTGCGTATTTCACCAAGCTAGATCTGAGGTCCGGTTACAATCAGATTCGAATAGAAGAAACAGATATTCCGAAGACAGCAATAAATACCCCATTCGGTCACTTTCAGTTCACAGTGATGGGTTTCGGCCTAACAAATGCCCCGGCAACATTCCAAACCTTGATGAACAGTGTCCTCCAGCCATACCTGCGTAAATTCGTTGTGGTGTTTCTAGACGATATCCTCATATTCAGCAAATCATGGGAGGAGCACCTCGATCATGTCAGAACCATCTTAAACGCCCTCAGGAGGAATGAGCTATATTGCAAACCGTCTAAATGTGAATTCGGCCGGACAGACGTTCTGTTTCTTGGGCACCGGATAGACGGCCAATGCATTTCTCCAGATCCAGAGAAGATCAAGGCCGTGCATAACTGGCCTGTCCCGACGACGGTCACGCACGTAAGACAGTTTCTGGGATTCGCTAATTACTTTCGAAGGTTCATTAACCATTTCTCGGCCATCTCCAAACCCCTGGAGGAACTGACAGGGAAACATGTGCGCTTCGAGTGGAATCAGACTCGACAGGAGGCATTTGAGCGATTGAAGTCTGCTCTGCTGGATGCACCAGTGTTGCGACTAGCAAACGTCAGTCAGGATTTCCGCGTTGAGACTGACGCAAGTGACTTTGCTGTGGCAGGAGTCTTGACGCAGCAAGCAGAGGACCAGTCCTGGCATCCTGTGGCTTACGTGAGCCGAAAGCTGTCTTCTGCCGAACGGAATTACACGGCCGCCGAGCGAGAAACTTTGGCTGTAGTGTACGCCCTGCAGTGCTGGCGAGTCTACCTATTTCGCCACTTTCAACTCTACACCGACAACATGGGAGTTGTCTACCTCAGGACCAAACCAAACTTAACCAAGAGAGAGGCTCGATGGATTGAATTCCTGGCCGACTATGACTACACGGTACATCACAAGCCAGGGAAGTGTAACATAGCAGACCCGTTGTCACGTCGACCAGACTTGGAACTGAATGGAATCGAGTTCTCTCTGGATGTGAATCAAGGAATTGCGAATCAGATCTCAGCAGGGTATGATAGTGACCCAGAGCTTTCGCCAGTAATCAAGCGCTTGATGGCTTGCAGCGAAGACGCCATGCATGAGCGATACGTCTGGAACAGTGTGGACCGGCGGCTGTACCTAGTAACATCGGGCGATGCTCGCCTCTGCATTCCTCGCGGTCCGGTACGGCTGCAACTGCTCAAACAGAATCATGATTGCCTGACGGCCGGCCATCCGGGGAGAGACAGGACCTACCTGAAGCTGAGCAGATACTTCTATTGGCCAGGCATGAGAAGTACTGTGAAGGACTTCGTTAAATCTTGCGACCGGTGCCAACGCGTAAAGGGTAGCCAGACCAAGGCAGGACTGTTGCAGTCCCTTCCAGTCCCCGAACAGCCCTGGACAGGTGTTGGTCTTCAGGGACTTCCTGCTGACGCCCGAGGAACGAGACAGGCCTTCACACAAATTAAGGCTCAAGTGGTATGGGCCGTTCAAGGTGCAGAAGAAAGTGGCCCCGAATGCGTACAGATTATCTCTTCCAAGAATCATTCGGGCCCATCCAGTGTTCAATATTGCTGCCCTCAAGCTGTACCATGGCAATGAGATACCGGGCCGTACTCAGCCGGCACCTCCACCCCTAACCGATGCGGATGGCCATACGCGGTACATTGTCGAAAAGGTGTTGTCGCACAAGAAGAGAGGACGGCGCACGCAGTACCTAGTGAAATGGAAGGGCTACCGAGATGCCACCTGGGAGCCGGAGGAATACTTGATGGATGAAGCAGGAAACGCTATTATTCCGCTGAAAACCTACCTGGACCGTTTTTCATAAAATTGCTATTTAATTGGCAGCCACAGTTGTATTGCTAGTTTCTATGTGTTGCAATAGAAATGTAGCATTCTGCATGATTAGGATAGTGCTTCCCTGCCAGCCAGGCGTTATTTGCAGAGGACATGCACTGGATCTTGAGTTCATCAGTGTTGTTTTCGGCTACCATGCATTCCACATATCCATGCATGATCATTAGTTACCATAACTGTTCCTTCGAATTGGTACTGTTCTGAC